ATGTTTGATGTAGGATTTGAACTCAGGTCTTCTTCATCCCAATCCCATCATTCTATCCATTGTGCTACCCAAAGTTAGAACTTGAGTGGGCTGAAAATTAGAGGGTTGATTCCTAAATCATTAATATTGGCTGTTATGTTACTCAAAAGTGCCAGGGAATTTCAATAACAAAAACAACAAAAACAACAACAAATGAATCCTCCACTAAGATCCCCCAGTGGTGCTTCCTGGTATGCAGGCAACTTTGTGGGGTTTTAAAGGTTGTTAGTAGCTCACAGTTCTATCAGTTCTGATTAAATGGTAACTGCTTTTAGTATGTGTCCAGTGATGTATGAGTCTCTGGTCCCAGGATCATGCCGGCCAAGTTAGGAGATACGATCAGAAGGCTGGACACTAAGAGACCTTCTTCTCTCCCACCAGAGTTCACCAAAGATGGAGAGTGTCACTTGATGCTTCTAAAGGGAGCCATAGACTATTACATTCCTCAATCCAATGGTCATTGCCCCTTTTCTCATTTCCCAAAGGCAGAGACAAAATATCTGTTCCACTACCAACTTGATATACTACTTACAGAACCAAATCACAATCATGTTAACCTTCTCACTATAAATAAAATCATAAGACATAAAGAATAGGTTATTAAAAGGATAGAAGGCTCACACATTCTCTTTCAAGAGAGAAATAAAAGATTACGTGAAAATAGTTCTATCACCCAAAGAAGGGATACAAGAAATGTCATTTCAGGGACATCTTGCCTTTCATTATGCACAGACTACTATGAAGATGATAGCAGTTTATGTGCCAGCATCTGTTGCACAGACTAAAGAAGTAGAAAAATACATCGAAGAAATTGACAAGATCCTCCAAACTAAATTGATTCCCAGTGACTTCAATGTAAAGTTGGAAACAAGAGGTGGGGGGGAGAAAGCAAATAATATATCAGAAAATGTTTCAGACTTGATAAATGAAGGAGACAAAAGATTTGCATGTAGACCACTCAGAAGCCTCATATCTGTAGATCACAGATACTTTTTTCAAAAAGAGTCAGGAATTTTAGGATGAGGTAAATACTGAAAAATATCAGAAAAAAATAGTCTACCCTCTTGGTATTCAGTCTTTTCCTCTCTGTTAAAAAATAGTCACCTTAGAATCAGCTGACCACATGGTATCAGATCACTGACAGATTAGATTGAAAGTCAAAATCAACACCAAAGCTCTACCAAAACTGAAAGAAAGGATAATGATGAGAAGAGACTATTTACATGATGTAGCTAATTTCATATCCATTTAAACGAGCTGCTAAATGAACAATGGGAAATAGCTAAAAGTACATTCTTTGACTCTGAGGATCCCCATTTCTTAGACAAATACAATCAAAATAAATATTTGCTACAATTAGGAGACCAAAAGAGTTGAGAAACTGAATGAGGTAGCAAATGCCTGATCTTCTTGCTAAATAGGGAGACAGGATGGCCAAAGTCAAAACTAATTTAGATTATAGGGACATTTAAAAAATATTACTGAGGATGAATATGGATAAAGATGGTCAGCATTGTCTCATTAACACTTGGAAGGTAAAATGAGACTGTGAAAAATTAGCATGAAATCCAGGTAAGTTAAATAACCTGAAGAACATTCAAGGATGAAACTTTGAGGACAATACGTAGAGATGAAACGGAACAAACTTTGTGTTCCTACTAGAGAGAGAAATTCTCATGTTTTATGCATGTAGTGGGAAGAGTATAAGACTTGGAGTCAAAGGACTTGTGTTCAAATTCTGGCTGATATCTTAGTACTCATGTGACTTAGACTGCTTTATTTAGCTTTCCTGGGATCTAATTTCCTCATTTATCAAATCAAGGGGTTAGACTAGACGATTTCCATCTCTAAATCCTATGACCACATGATGATAGAATCACTCCTTTTGGATTCTACCAAGATGGTACCCAGTGTGCTACATGGGGAAGTGGAAATGGCTGTTTAGAAAATGAGGTGGGGAACAATGGCTGAACTTAGTCATGTACATACAAAAGTCCACGATGAAAGCAACATAATTTTAAACTCCTTCATGGATCAACTTTCAAGATCCATGTCTCAAAGAAGGGAAATAACCTAAAAAGAAGTTTTAAAGACCATATTTTTAAAAATGATTTTATTGATATTTTCTGCTTCTTACATCACCATAGTATCACACATATCTTTCCTCCTCCCTGAGAACCATCTCATTTGACAATATTTTTTGAAGAGGAGAAAACAGCACAACTGATCAATGTATTAAAGATCAATGTATTATAAGGGCTAGGTTTATCCTCCTTCTTGTCTCTGAATTGTTTTTATTTTGTAGTTAAAATTTTTTCCCTCTCTTTTGATACGAACACAATATTATGATACTTCAGAGACTTTACCATAATCTTTTGTTTTAAGATGATCTTGTTTCTATTGGCTCTCTTCCCTTACCCCTGAACCCTTCTTCTCATTTGTTACCCCTTTCTCTTTAGGATATTGTTTATTCCTTTTCCCCCCCAGCTTTTATTGTTCCCCTTTTTCCCTCACAATCAAACAGATTCTCCCTTCCTCCCCTCCCCTTCAGTTAGACCTTTTCATTGTTGCTCTTGCTGTTCAGTTGTTTTTCAGTTGTGTCTGACTCTTCATGACCCCATTTAGGGTTTTCTTGGCAAAGATACTGTAGTGGTTTACCATTTCTTTCTCCAGATCATTTTACAGATGAAGAAACCAAGGCAAACAGGGTTAAGTAACTTGCTTAGGGTCACACAGATAATAAATGTCTGAGGCCAGATTTGAACTCAGGATGATTGAGTCTTCCTGACTCCAGGCTCAGCACTCTATCCAGCACTCCACCTAGCTGCTCTGAGTTCTGTTCATTTGTTTTCTAAATTTCATTTTTGAACCCCTTTCCAAAAAAGATTTCTCTTACTCTCTTCATTATCCACCTTCTATTTCTATTTATTCTAGAACCTCATTCTCTGATTCATCATCCCTATAATTATCTGATCTCTCTTTTCTCTGTTCTTCATTCAAAGTATCCAAAGTATCCATTCTAGTCTTTTTCCTCTAGGTACTTTCTGTCATTGCCTTGTAAGTCTTTTTGACTTACCCCAGAATCCCCTTTTCTATTGTGTCTCATTCCCAGAAGAAAACCAGTTATTACAGGAGTCAGAGTACACTGGCCCATATTTAGTTCCTTCTCACCAGTGATCTATAGCCTTTCTCGTTGACTTTCCCCCCTCCATAATTGCCTGGAAATTTCCTAGTGTCCAAGGAGTATCCACACTCCTCAAGGTTCTAGTTGTACCCAGAAATTCCAAATCCTTTCCTCTCTAGACAAGCAGACTTTTCAAGCGCCAAAGTCTCATCCAGTGTAAGTCCTCATCTCTTTCACCCATAGGAGCATTCATTAGTAGAACCCCTTCACACCTCCCAAAGTAAGTCCTCCTTTCTTTCCCTCTTATTTCAATTCCCCCCATATCCACTTCCCCTGTAGGTTCTTCTCTTTTTGAAACCAAAGAGGTCACCTTTCCTCATTATTAGCTCCTGATTAGATCTCAGAACATCACACATCCCTCCTTTATCTCCCTGCTCCCTTCACCCTTTTATGTACTCTCTCATGTTGTAATGTAGTTCCATAAATGAAGCATTTGACTATAGTCAGGGTCCTGGTTTTATCTATAATGACCTCTGTTTGCCTTTTTCCTGTTACCTCTACCAGATTTCTGCCTTTACCCCTGTCTTGCATATTCAGAAAGAAGTCTCTTACTGGTCTTTCTGTGGTCGCTCTGCTGCTGTTGCTGTGCCTGCTTGCTGCATTTATTCACTCCTTCAACATTTCTGTTGTTCTGTGTGTTGGAGAAGCAAATAATCTCTTCGGTTCTGATCTTCTTTCTAAAAATGTTTCAAGCTCTTCTTTATTATTGAACATCTATCTTTTGTATGTTTTAGCTCAAAATGTAGGATAGGTCCCCCTGAGCTGTATTCTGATTTCACTGTTTTTCAGAACATATTATTCCATTCTCTCCTCCTTTTTCTAGTGGGTGCAGAATAGACTTGCATTTTTAGAATTTTCTTTCCTTTGTATTTCAAAGTATTTTTCCTGATGGCTTACTGGATTTGTTTTTGAATTGAATTATTAAATTTAACCACTATGTACCTTGGAGTTTTCAATCTTTAGATTTTTTGTTTGCTTGTTTGTTTGTTTCTAGAAGTGATCTGTGAGTTCTTTCATTGGAATTTTGTCCTGTGTGTTCAATTTTTGGCAGTTCTCTTCTATTATTTCCTTCATTGTGGTGTTACATTTTTTTCTCCAGTCATATCCTTCTGGGAGACCTATGATTCTTAGATTGTCTCAGTGCATCATCTTTGAGGTCAGTATGTTTTGCTTATGCTGTGAGCATATTTTCTTTTAGTGTTATTGTTTTTTTTTCTTCTCTTCTAGGCTGTCCTTCACTTCTGTGTATTTGCATTCCCAATCTGTTACTCTCTCTTTTATTTCTTTGGTGAAGCTTGCCATTGCAGATTCAAGTTTTTCTATTCTACTCATTATTTTTGATGTGCAGGGCATAAATTCTGCTTTCATAATTTTCATTTCTCTTTTAAACTACTTTGTAAAAGAGCATGTTGTGGTTCCATGATCTCCTCAAATTCTTTAAGGTCCTTTGTCTCATACAATGTTGGATCAGTTACCTTTATTTTGCATTGTTTATTTGTAGATGCCTGAACTTGTTTACTAGATCTGGAGGCCACATTTCCTTCTATTGTTACTGACAACAGCTTTTCCTGTTGATTCATCTCTTTATCTTTAAGGTCTTTTGAGTTTTCTTCTTCCTGATATCTTTGGTGCTTTCAGTCTTTCCCCCACTTTATCACTCACTTCCTGACTCCCTCCCTTCTGATTGTGGTTTCCTTGGGGGTTGGATCTCAAAGCCTCTCAGCCCCCTCCCACAATGGGCAATTCTTGGTTCACAAGCCTAGATCTGTGTCCTAAATGACTTGGGTAGTGTGGAGCTAGCCCCAGCTGGGTACTGTGCTCTTTTTCTCAGGCTTGTTGGAGTCCTACACGGCTTCCCACATGCACAGTGTCCTGTTATGGTGACCTGTCACACTCTTTCTGTTGCTCACTTCTCTGTCCTGGCACTAGCAATTCAGACCCTAATTTCCTGGGCACCACCAGTTTAGAGACTTGCAGCACTGGTATTTCTGGGTTGCATTCCCCCCCAAAGGCTTTCTTGTTCCTGTTGGACTGTGGTCAAGCTGGCTGTTGAGCCTCAAGGAAACTTCTGCTGCCAGACACTGGAAGAGGAAAGAGGGGAATGGGGTACACAGGTGGGTTTTATTTTAAGTCTGTATCGTGTTTTTGGATTTGCTAGAGCAGCCTCACTGCTGGTGGTGTGGGAGGTGGGGGAGGGGTACTGAGTGAGCTCAGTGTCAGAGAGCATCAATTCTAGAGTTTTAGGTTTGTTTTTGGTCTTCTTTTGGATTCTGGGTGTCCTAGACCTTGGAGACAGTTGAAGTTGCTTTTTATTTGGAACATAATTTCTGTTTTGGAGAGATTTGAGAGGTTGTGGGGATCAGAGAAAATGTCTAGTTAACTATCTTGTTGCTCACATGACCTGGACGTCACTATATTACATTTAAAAAGTTTACTGAAAAGACATCAGGACTTATCAGTCTATATGTGCTCACATTTGGATCTCTATGGAATCTTTATGAGATTTGTACATGGAGGTTTTTTTTTTAATAAGTAATATTTTATTTTTTCCCATTACATATAAAGACAATTTTTAACATTCATTTAAAATTTTTTAAGGTCTAAAATTTTCTCCTTCCCCCTCCTTAAAAATGGTAAGCAATTTCATATAGGTTATATATGTGCAATCATGTAAAACATATTTCCATATTAGTCATGTTTTAAAAGAAGAAACAGACCAAAAGGAAAAAAAATGAAAAAAAGTGAAAATAGTATGCTTCAATCTGTATTCAAAGTTCATCAGTTCTTTCTCTGGATGTGAATAGAATTTCCATCATGAGTCCTTTGGAATTGTCTTGCATCATTATCACTGAGAAGAACTAAGTTATTCATAGTTGATCATAGTACAATTTTGCTGTTGCTGTTGTATATAGAGATATTAAGGCTGTCCTCGATGAAAACATGAGATGGGAACAGTCAGACCTTTGCATATGATATTCTATAGTAGGCTTTATCTTCACAGTTACACAGTTAATTAAAAGGTAGAAAGAATAGAAGCTACTGTATTATTGCTTGGTGACTATAAAAACGTTTTCCCTAGAAAAGCAAAATATAACTTTATTATCTCTCTACCAACAAAATTTGCCCATGCATAATTAAGAACTTATAAGATTTGTGACAGATTAACCTTATGATTTTTGTACTTCGAATATCGACATCAAATGGGTCATAAAATAAGGAAACACACGCCTAACAAAGATGGTTACTTATGTCATGGAGGATCTTGTACAAAAAGTTAAATGAGAAGAGAGATTCACTATAAATGGTGAGCTTCTCCAAGATGTGTTATTTGTTGATGACATTGTGCTGCTTACACTGAGCCCCAGAATGGTACAAGGCCTCTTCAAAGAGATCCAGGATGACTCAGAAGAGATAGGCCACAGGAAAAACTAACTGGATGAAGAATACGTGTTACCCAGATCATAGGTCATGGTTGGGTGGATTATTCATTGAATTTATCCACTAGTTTATTTTTATTATCTTGAACATAGCTTTGCAGATGGTAACGAAGTGGGGCTCAAATTGAAGAAAGTGGCTATACTGCATTTGACAAATTGTACAGGACTGCCAATGATCTTGAGCTTTATCCTACTGGAAAGGCCCATTTTTGTGATATTAATATTAGATTATGTTGCTCTATGTCCATGGATCATAGAACACCATCAGCCAAGGGGAATCAAAATTGGAGGAGACCCAAAGGGTAATGGAAAGATACTAGCCAGCTATAAGCAGGATATATTGTATTACCACTGATGACTGATATGTAAGAAGTGACAAGAAATATATCATCAAAGTCTTCTATGAACAGAAATTGAAGGAGGTAGTATGGGGTAGTTGGTAGATTCTTGGACTTAGAATCAGGAAGACTTGGCTTCAAATTCTACTTCAGACATTTACTGGCTGTGTGACCTTGGGCAAGTCACTTAATCTTAAACTGTACCTCAATTTCCTTATTGGTGAAATGAGGAGTTTGGACTCATGGCCTCCAAGTTCCCATTCAGCTCTATGATCCTATCCTACTATGTGTGACAGTCATGAGGAAGCATGAAGGATGACTAAGGGAGAGCCTGAATTCTGCCTACACTGTGAGTACCTACCAAGTATTAAAGGAGCCAGAGGAAGAAGCTCCCAGTGTACGGACTAGATCATCCTTGAAAGACTGATGCAAGACATAACCAACAATTATACATCATGAGAAGATAAAGGTGGGCTTCCATCTGTATTAGTGGAGTTTCCATATTGATAGCATCATGGTAATATTGAATAAGGAAGACATTAACCAAAATATTCATAGCAGCAATCTTTGTGATGACAAAGTATTGAAAACAAAGTAAATGCCCATTAATTGGGGAATGGCTAAACAAACTGTCATACATGAACCTAACAGGATGTTACTATGTTTTAAGAAATTATGCATGAAAATAATTCAGAGAAGTCATAGAAAATCTTTTATAAGGCAGAATGAAGCAAGCAGAACCAGGAAAGCAATAAACATGATGATTATTACAATATAAGTGGGGGGGGGAACAAAAAAGAAATGTAATTAAACGGTGTTGTTTTAAGGACCAAGCCTAGTCCAGGAGAAGAAATGAGAAAATGAATTTCTTTCTCCTCTTTACAAAAGTGGGTGGCTATGGATGAGGATTGTCACATGCACTCTCAGACTTACATGATGCCCTGTTTTGTTTTGCTGACCTGTTTCTTTTTATCTTTCTTTTTCATTCTTTGTTATAAGGGATGGCTCTTGGAGAAAGGGAGAGAGGAAGAAACTATTCAGAAATAAAGGTGATATAGAAACAAAGGCTAAGGAAAAGAGTGTGGGGAGTGATGAGGAAGTAAAGAGAATAGAAGAGGGTTTAGGATAGCTTATGTGGAGAATCAATTAGGGAGTAATAAAAGGACTACTTTGCAGCAGTGATACTCAGTTGATGTTGGATAATATAAATTTATAATATACTCAGCACAGTTGTATGAAGTTCCCTAGTTCCATTCAGTAGAATGTGATTGGAGGAAGTCAATGGTGAGAGTAATCCAAGGTTGAAGCTTGGCAAGGGATGAGCAATGATAGGACAATGGGGTGAGAGATTTGTGAGTAGTTGAAAGTTGAATTGGCTAACTATAAGCTTGAGATTGTAGAGAAAGGGAAGTGAAGACAGACTAGAGATAAGGGGCTAAGAAAGTACTGAGGAATGAAGAGGTTAGAGGTCACAATGAGGGTGAAGAATAGGTTTGGGAGGGGCGAGGCATAAAGAGAAACAGAATGATAAGACTTTATGGTCAGATAGAGGAATGTCAGAATTTTTGGTTAAGGAAGTAGAATACTTGTGGATAAAAATTGTGGCCAATCCAGGGTGTGACCATTCTTAAGTGTGTCTGAGATGGACTGAAGGAATTCCTATAAGATTTATGGAGATAGGAGAATTGGGAGGTTGGGAAATTTGAGGGAACATCAATATGGATATTGAAGCCCATTAATATAAGGATAAGGATAAGGGAAGATGGTCATGTAGATTCAGTGTTATCTGAAGGAAGCTAGATCTCAGAGCAAGTAGATGGAGGAGTATGAGAGGAAGAAGTCCAGAACAAAGATGATTTTGTTTATTACGGAATGGAAATTGCTCTCCTTTTGTCAATGATTGAGTAATACAGGGATAGAGAAAATAGCAGGTGCTGAAAGATGGTTAGTCAATCCCAATAAAGATAGCAATTGATAAGGTTTCTTTGTGACATGAACATGATGAAGTATTACCTTTTAGAAAGTAAACAAATACTAAGTACACTCTTCAGTGACCAAGACTGAGAAAATTACAAAGCTGGGCAGCATGACCCAGTTGTTTGATTAACCGAGTGAAGAGAAAGAAGCTGCTGTGATCATTCTGTGAGTCTGGAAGTCAAGTTAACCAATATGAATAATTTAAACCCAACAGGATTTTTTTTTGGGGGGTGTAAATTTTCCATGTGAACTATCTGGATCAGTGATGCCAAACTTTTTGAAGTTGTGACAGCTTCAATTTGTTTAATTTCATTATGTTTTCTCTCTACACCTTTCTCTCATCTCCCAACACTAATGGATTATAAGGCATATGTTCATATTTTAAAAATTATAATTAATTTAGAATAACATTCTTTGAGGTAATTGTATCGGGGCTCTGTATCCAAGACACCTGTCTTCTCCTCCTGCTCAGCTGTCCTTATCCCCAAGGGCAATGATAGTGAAGAAGAGCAATCTATGGGCCACATGAGGCCTTGAGGCCATAGGTTCCCCACCTCTGAGCCATTTAGCTTCCCCTTGGGGTGCCCTCATCTGTCTACAGATGGTATTCCTAGCCAGAAGAGACCAGGAAGAAGTTCCTTCATTCCTTTCTGAAAAGTTCTGTTTGTGTTCAATCCTTTACTATGAGGTGACATGAGACTCTGAGTTTCTGTGAGAGAAATTACACTGGCTGTTGATGTATTTGTAGTAAGCATTCTGACTCCTTATCACAGAGCCAGGCTGGCTATGTTGCCATCTAAGAGTTCTGGGGTATCTCTGAGGTGTTGATATGTTTCTTCTCTAGAGCCATAGGCTTGAGCCTCTTTTCTGATGTTGTCCCGAGCTTCTGTTAACCACCAGTAACTGGCATCGCAGATCCATTTAGTCAATTAACACCAGTTAGCTTTTACAAAGGGATATTCATTTCAAAGAGATAGCAAAGACCTGAGAATAGACAGTCCTCTTACACACAGAAACCCCAGGGCATGTTCTTCCCTATAACACTTTGTTCTCTGGGGACTGAAGGGTCTGGTTTAGTATGGTTTCTACATAGCATTGGTCACACCAAGTTCACATTACTGCTGAAAGAGTCTCATCTGCTACTTGGCTAGGTCCTAAAGGCCACTACTCCTTAGGCCCCAAAAGCTGGCTTGGATGGAAACCCAGTGTGGACTTGACTCTTGGCACTCCTGGCCCCCAAGTAGCTTGTAGTCCTGAACTTTCAAAACTGACAAAGTTGTAGTCTTTTCTGATCTCTTTCATCTAAGTCAAAAGAATATATGTTAACGCAAAGAACCAAGGCTTGTATTTATAGGTAGTATA